TGTGATAACTTCAACATGGTGGGTTGTCCTCCTACTCTATACAAGCTATTAACTCATGCTGTGATAACTTCAACATGGTGGGTTGCCCTCCTACTCTATACAAGCTATTAACTCATGCTGTGATAACTTCAACATGGTGGGTTGTCCTCCTACTCTATACAAGCTATTAACTCACGCTGTGATAACTTCAACATGGTGGGTTGTCCTGCTACTCTATACAAGCTATTAACTCACGCTGTGATAACTTCAACATGGTGGGTTGTCCTCCTACTCTATACAAGCTATTAACTCATGCTGTGATAACTTCAACATGGTGGGTTGTCCCTCCTACTCTATACAAGCTATTAACTCATGCTGTGATAACTTCAACATGGTGGGTTGCCCTCCTACTCTATACAAGCTATTAACTCATGCTGTGATAACTTCAACATGGTGGGTTGTCCTCCTACTCTATACAAGCTATTCACTCATGCTGTGATAACTTCAACATGGTGGGTTGTCCTCCTCCTACTCTATACAAGCTATTACCTCATGCTGTGATAACTTCAACATCGTGAGTTGCCCTCCTACTCTATGCTAGCTATTCATTCATGCTGTGATAACTTCAACATGGTGGGTTGTTCCTCCTACTCTATACAAGCTATTCACTCATGCTGTGATAACTTCAACATGGTGGGTTGCCCTCCTACTCTATACAAGCTATTAAAGGGATCCTTTACTCTAGGTTCTAGGGTTATTTTCAGTTAATTTAGGTTAAAATCATGCTACATAAAAAGTGTCATGGTTCAATCACCATTGCACTTTTGTAATTAGCCCTCAGTCTATAACGTGCAAAATATGTTGGGAAATGCACAACTTTTTCAGGGTGGCAGCACGGTCGCGGGTGTCAATGGCGCCGTTACAATTTCGTAGCGTTGATGTATAATTAATTATAACAATTAAATTAGGTATCTGGTAACAACTACGTGTGGGTATAGACGATTTGTTATACAGTAAGTACAGTTGTATGCAGTAAAATCCTAGAGTCTAGTATCCCTTTAACTCATGCTGTGATAACTTCAACATTGTGGGTTGCCCCTTTTTCTCTATACAAGCTATTTACTCGTGCTGTAATAACTTCAACATCGTGGGTTGCCCCTCTTACTCTATACAAGTTATTTACTCGTGCTGTAATAACTTCAACATGGTTGGTTGCCCCCTCCCCCTCTTCTATACAAGCTCAACATGGTGGGTTGCCCCCTCCTCTATAAAAACTTCACTCACGCTGTGATAACCATGAGATGTTATGTTTCATACGAACCTGACGCTGTTCTCTGAACATTGCTGTGGTTCTTGGCACGTTGTTCTCTGAACGTTGCTGTGGTTCTTGGCTTCACAGCCTGCGCTAGAAAAGAAGACGCTGCGCTGCCTGGAGGCGATTCACCACACGCAGAGCGGCCCCCTGGTGGCGTTGCTGATTGATCGCATGCTTGCGACGCACCACCTGTCAATAGCCAGGATGTGCGACACGGTGACCTGCCGACGACTGGAGATGCTGCTGGCAGATACACCTCGGGTAAGCCTATTGCTTTATAATTACTTGCTGTGTAATCGTTGCTTAACACATTTACTGCGGCTACAACCACTTACACTCTACATGAAGCAAATACGGGTGTGATGGTAGTTTAACATATTTATTGCTGGTTACATTACAGGAATACATTACATTACAGAGGGAATGGCAGCTCTGCTGAGAACAAACAGCGGGGAATACATTACATTACAGAGGGAATGACAGCTCTGCTGAGAGAGAGAGGCGACAACATTAAACTACCATCACACCCATAGTACAACCACTTACACTCTACATGAAGCAAACCCATGTTACAATCACTTACACTCTACACAGCTGCTCCTGACAGTTCTGCTGGGAGAGAGCGTTAAACTTAAACTACCATCACGCGCTCTCTCCCAGCAGAACTGTCAGGAGCAGCTGTGTAGAGTGTAAGTGATTGTAACATGGGCGTGATGGTAGTTTAACGCTCTCTCCCAGCAGAACTGTCAGGAGCAGCTGCCGCTCGACGACCTTGAGAAGCTCATTGACACGATGAAGCAGAGGGCGCTAGCGCGGCGGCACGTGCGTCTCACGACGCTGCTGGGTCGCGTGCGGGACTCGCTAGCGCCGGCCGCGCCGCGCACGCTGCTCTCGCCCGAGCGCTCGCACCCGCTCGCGTTGAGCGCGGCCGCTCACGTGCGCGACATCGCCGTCAACAAGGACTGGCTGCTGTCGATCACGTGGGAGCAGTGCTGCCGCGCGGATGCGGCGCCGGCGGGATGCGCGAAGCTACTCGCGAACCTCGACTATGCCGACCAGCTCGCGACGATGAAGGCGAAGGGCTTCAACGCGGCGGTGCTGCGCGCGTGCGTCGCACTCGGCCTCCGCAAGACCGTCGACGCGCTGTACGGCGCGCGCGACGCGATGTCGCCGAGCGAGCAGGTGGCGCCGCCGCTGCCGCTGCCCGGACTCCCCGAGCAGCGCGAGCATCCGCTCTACAGGGCGTCGCGAGTGTCACTGATGCAGGTAACCGTGAGGGTTGATCGATATACTTACGGCCGATTGGTTGCCGTGGAGGGTCGAATGAAGTGAGATGAATGATTAGGTTACTTGTCGTTTATTAAAATGGTTATCAATATTATTTTGCTGATCAACATGTTAATGCATTAATTAATATTTATTCATGATTGATGATTAATTATGATAAAGAAAAATTTACATCGGTACATATGTAGTCATTGTTCAATATCCTTAATGCATTTGTGAAAAGTGCGTCTTACAAATGAAACGGCACTGAACAAATTTTCCGATGAGAATACGTGTTGGTTGCAACTCACAATTTACTTTCAGCATATAAGTGGGATCGTGGCGGGTCTGCCTACGCCCCATCAAGCGCCAAACTTCCTACAGACGCTGGCATCGGGGAAGCACGGTCGCTTTCTCAGCAAGCTGGAGAGCTTTCTGTGCGAACAGCCGATGTGGAGCTTCATGTTCAGCCTGGCTCCGGCACTCACCAGCTTCCTGGAGTCACACGAGGCGTTGCCGTGGCAACTAAATCTAGGCCAGGAAGCCATGTGCGACATCTGCAGATTTGGAGTTCTGATGTTGGAGGTTCGAATTTAATTACACAACTGATATTTATAATAGCTATAATTATTATTATGAAACGCAGGTTCTGGCTGTGTATACCTTCAAACTGGATTAATATTTATGGAATCTGAAGTATAGCATAATATAGTATCATCGTTTATAAGTTGACCAAGTATATATTATAAACTCCTGATCTGGTGAATGTAAGAGTATTTTAATTGACTTATTATAATTTCTTATTAATCTATCGTTTGGTATACCTGCAACACTTTCCTGCAAATTATTTTATATCAGTATAAATATTTTATAATAGGCAGAGCAATCTGTCACCCAATAAACAACTACAAAATACAATTCCCAAACGAAAATGTTCATTTATAAATGTTCCCTGATTCCTACTGCTACCTCAATATATAGCATAACAAACTGATGATCTCTATGCCAACATTTTCTTAGGAACCAATTAACATATATAATCATATACTAAAAATATTAACGATGATGATAATAATAATATATTAATATTATTATTATAGAAATGTGTAAGCTTAGCTAATCGTACACTGCCACTGCTACAGGCGGTACAGTGGAAGTATTCGACGGAGCGCGTAGTCACGGCCAGTGAGCTGCAGTCGGCACTTGACTGCTTTGCCGTGATCATATGCGACAGCAGGCTGTTTGGCATTCTCAACCGCGAGCAGGCAGCGCCACCTATGGAGAGCAACGTCACGCTGATTCTGTCCGCCGTTAGTTGTGTGCAGCACATCCTCAGTAAGGCGAGGAACATACAGGAGGCACCATCAGGCCAGGTAGGAGCTAGACCTGTTTACTACAATCATGTTGCAGGCAGGGTTGGGGCACATGTCACAGTCCCTGTAAAATGCATTGCTCTCTCTACGGTGGGGAGGTGCACATGACATGGGACATCTGATGCACATCTCCTATAGGACATATCGCAGTTTGAGGGAGAGCGAGTTGAAGAATAGCAATCCTACGGGTGCTTTACTCTTATTGGAGTGCAATAGTTTGAGGAGTAATTAATTGAAGTCCTGTGAGATGCATCACAGTCCTGGTTGTGAATCATAGGCCTATAGGATATATATATCACAATCCTGAAGTGGTAGGTGAGATCCAAATGTTTTCATGTGTGCACCCCTTGATGTCTATCTTCAGTGGCGTGTAGTAATAGTAGGTTATGCTTGCTCTTACGGTCATCTAGAACATATAGCGCCCAGCAAGCACACTCACTTTTTTTTCGAAGGTGTTGTTAGTGAAGCCTCACTGTGTTGTTATTGTTCAGGTGACGGAGGCATGTGACACCTCCACTGTGATAGCCTGCCAACAGATCACTGAGCTGATGCAGTGGATAGAAGCGCAGTACTGCCAGAGCAAGCAGACTTCCACGCCTCCGCTACCTGAATACCTAGTCCAGCCGATGATCACCATCATCACAGGTATTCCGCTCACCTCTCCTGTATATAGCAGGTATACCTGTGATTAGTTTCACCTGCAGATGACACATTATAGACATGCAATTGAAGCCATGCCTAAAAGACTACCACTTTCAACTGCTGTGACACTTTCACTTAAAGGAAAGCTGCTGGACATGAGTCTTGTTTTTCTAATAAATTTTTCTTTAGCCTAATGAACTTTTTTGAAGAGTTTTTGCTCTGAGCTTTGATTTATTTGTGTGTCAAGGTCTTTATGTACCATATGGTTAAAATGTTGGATTTAATGCCAAAATAACGGCAAACTCGGATAACATGCAGGAGAAGTCCGATACTGAGGAATATGCTTCTTTACTGTACTTCAGCTAGCAATAGAGACACCACGATAGCAATATGATTAGCAGGAATAATTTGTTAATAAATAACTGTTAATTTGTAATGACTAATAACGATCAATAGTTGTAAATAAGCATTAGAACAACAGCATTATAATAAATATTGTACTGTTATAACAACGTTAAAGAAGGCAACATTTCTCTCTGTCGGTAACGAGGATAATGTGGGTCCCCCTTCTCCCCTCTACAGGTCTGGCGCGACTGTCGTTGCTCACGAGCCACGCCCGCCTCCCGCCGCTCGCGCGCACGATGGGCTGGGTGCCCGTGACCTCCGACCCCTCGCAGCCACCGCTGCCGACCGAGTTTCTGCAGGAGCGCGACGTGCTGCGACAGTTTGTGCTGCGTGCGAACGCGCTCGGCTTCACCTCCCGCCAGCAGTTCGAGGAGCTATGGGTGACACTACTCGCCGTCCTCGGCGCCTCGCAGGAAGAGGTCGTCACTATCGGCGGCGTCGGCGGACAGCACGAGGAGATGGAGCGCGTGCACGTCAGCTGCCTCGTAGTGCAGGGCCTCACTGCGCTGCTCATGCAGGCGCTGCTGCGGCCGCGGCCGGGAAACCCGATCGGCGGTCAGTTTCTGCACGCGCAGCGTGACAAGCCGCCCGCGTTTCTGCAGACGAGGTGAGGGCTTCCTGCTTCTATCAGCCTCCGTACGTGAATCGCTAGTGCGAAATCCCACAAGCTCGACTGTTATCGTTCTTACTGTTATGCTTGAGTGTTTTCTTATCAGAATCAGGCTTCACTTGTCGCCTGCCTTGTGTTGTTAGGCATAGGGGGTGATAGTCAACAATGGTTTCTCTTTTTATTGTCTTTGTCTTTGTGTTATGATGCACATTATATACATGTATATTTGGTTACATAGCAAATGTCTTATCAACTTTTTATGATTATGGCATCCTACGCTTTAATAGCAAATTAATAGAGCATAATAATAATAATAATAACAATAATATTAATGATGACAATAATAAAGTATGGATGAGTAATATATAGTATAACTATAGCATGAGTTAGCTAAACCAGTGTACTCTGACTGGTTGTCTGATATCTTCCACCGTTCTGTGCTGCATAGCACCTAATCTGTGCTGTGTATCTACAGGACAGGGAAGAGGCTGACGAAGGTACGCGGGATCATACAGATGGAGATAGAGAGCCTGGCCGGTAGCAGCCGCTGCGAGCGCCCGCCGGGGGAGATGTATGAGAAGATACATGCTTACAACATTGAGAGAGAAGACGATTCCTCCAAATACACTCTAGGCCAAGTATGTTGCATGTTGTATGTTACATTATAGGTACGAGATTAATTCTCCCATTTAAGTACGTGAACGTGTGGGATTCTTGTCTTCCTCCAGTCCTCTTACTATAACAACCCGATGTTTTGCAATCAGTTGATTAGTGGTCCTGAGTGGCCCACTTATTAATTTGGATGTTGCACCTGCATGCACTCATACACCTTATATAACCTGTGTGTGTCGTAAATTCAGCTGTAGCCTGTGGTAAACTAACTGTCCGGGGAAAAACAAACAGAAGCGGTTTGTAAAAGGACGCAGATTTTCGTAGACCTCGATATCTTGATGCCTTAATGTTGGCTGATTAGCTGTGCTTGAAATCTTTTGGGTCTCCCCTTAAAAACAGTTGCAACATTAAAAACAGTTGCAGTGCATTGCAGTCACAATATAGGTCATACGCAGCATTGACAGAATGCGATGCACTGCGTTGTCCAATCATGCAGGAAGCATGCACAAAAATTCAGCTGTACCCCCTGTATCCAACAACTATCCGGGGCGAAAACAAACAGAAACAGTTCATGGAAAGATGCCGGTCTGGTATCTAAGGCCATAATAAAAGTATTGTTTGTTTGCCCTCACCCGACCGACGCGCCAAAAAGGCGGCCGACTCAAAAATGTTGTATTGATCTTTCCCATTCCTTTTTTTTTACAAATTGTATCACTGTACATTATACAAATCTGTAGGCAATACATTATATATGTATGTACCAAGCAAAACAAACATTCAACATAAAAGGTATCTCCACACAAGCACACCCGAGCATGTAGATACCATGCTGAATTTGTAAAAAGACCCCCTAAAAAAAAAGACGCCTACATACCTACCCAAACTTTTCAGTCTGGGTCAGGTGAGGGCAAACAAAGATTTTTTTAATTGTGGCCTAGGTTGCAAGCAGCAGTCGGTAAATGCGCCGTGCTGCGCCATTCGTTCGTTCACGCTGCATCGCTCGTTCGTTCACGCAGGTTTCCGTGGAGTCGATCTGGTCGCGCGCGGGCATGCTGGAGCAGGACAGCCAGCACGAGCGGCGCCACCTAGCCGCCGCCGACGTCGACGTCGACATTCACTCCTGCCTGCAGTTCCTGCTGGAGAATCTGTACTCGATGTGGATGAAGACAGGAGCTCTCGCTCACGTCGCACTGCTCACGGAGGCTGCATGCTCCGTACGACTATTACTATTACTATATGCCATTTGCTATTACTACAGAGCTGCCAACCCTTCTGATATCAGCGGAATTTGTGCGATTTTAGCCTGTAATTCTGCCATTACGATTCACTCACGTTTTGCTACGATTTTGGACCATTATAAGTAAAAAAAACATTCAATCGCGACAATGCCGCTCCTCTCGCCGGGTCGAAGAGCGTGAAAGCGGTTACTCACGTGGCGCGCTCGTGTAACGTCGGCGTCGGCGCATTGTGTTGTCGCCGCCCCGCGCCGTGGCACCTCTAAAGTTGGCCAATAAGCAGGCTAGTAGGCTGCTGGGGTTGCCCTACCTAGTTTGCCTCTTTGCCTCTCATATGAGTTCTATGCTGTTTATCAATCCTCCTCTGTCCTGCATAACAATTTTTTAATTAAATGCAAGTTGCTTTGGTGAGACTTTCCTGAAAGAAATATTTGCCCTTGCTGCCTCTCCAATATGACATGGTGCCCGCAAATTCTTGCCTTTAATTAATTCTTGCATTTATAGTAGTTACTAGTAGTTACTAGCATTAATTCTTGCTATTATTTAATAAATAATTTAAATTAGTTTTAATCTTAAATTAAATAATAATTTAAGATTTTTATTAACTTTAATGCTGTGCATCAAAGATTGTTAGTATATCGATCCCTGCAGTTGTGTTGAGTCGACGTTGTGCGGTGTATTGGCAGGTGGTGGTACTCTCCGACATCTTCACGGAGCAGTCACAGTTTGAGTGGATGTTGGAGGTGTTTCTCGACTTGCATAAGACGCACCCGGGTGAGGACGAGATCCTAGTGCAGTACCTACTAGTCGGAATCTGCAAGGCAATCAGCGTCATTGGACTGGTACGTCGCTGTATTCTCGTCTACTGCTATATGCTATACTGCTGCCTCTTCAGCTATTTGTTTTCTAACTATAACTATACTATTACTACAGAGCTGCAAATCCTTTCGATTTCGGTGGAATTTGTACGATTTTTTAGCCTGTGATTGTGCCATTACGATTCACTCACATTTTACTACCATTTTGGACCATTATGAGTAGAAAATAATCTTGATGTAAAAACTGCCTGGAGAATTGTTGCCACTGCTGCCACGCGAGTGGCCGTTTAACAGGAAGTTAATATAATATATACTTCCAACAAGGAATGTGCTGTGAATGTCACATTTGCACGTCAGCAGGTGATAAGCTCTCAACATGGTCTTTCTATACATTGTCTATATATGTGTTCTGAAAATCGAAAAACACACCTGCCAAGTAACTACGACTAGCTAACGTGTTTGTGTGTGTTTCATGTACAGGACTCAGCGCTGCAGGAGCGCGTTAGTAAGCTGCTGGAGCAGTCTATGCGCAGCACTCACATGCCGACCCGCGTCGCAGCCTACCACGGCGTGCTCTACATACTCGAGTCGAACCAGGCCGACTTCTCAGCGACCGTGATGCCGGCGGTGACCGAGAGCCTGCAAAAGCAACTCACCTGCCTCACAACGTAGGTACTTACCTGTACCTGTACCTGTGCCTTACCTCACCTGCACCTTACCTGCACCTTATCTCACCTGTACCTTACCTGCACCTTACCTCACCTGCATCTTACCTTACCTGCACCTTACCTGCACCTTACCTTACCTGTACCTCACCTGCACCTTACCTTACCTTACCTTACCTGTACCTTACCTGTACCTTACCTTACCTGTACCTCACCTGCACCTTACCTGACCTGTACCTCACCTGCACCTTACCTTACCTTACCTTACCTGCACCTTACCTGTACCTTACCTTACCTGTACCTTACCTGCACCTTACCTTACTTGTACCTTACCTGTACCTTACCTGCACCTTACCTTACTTGTACCTTACCTGTACCTTACCTGTAACTTACCTGTACCTTACCTGTACCTTACTTGTATCTGTACCTTAGCATCTTAAGTATAAACTCGGTTTTCGCACGTGCGTTGCAGGGGTGCGGTCTATGGCGAGAAGTACGTGCTCGTCATGTGGGCGGCCGTCTTCTACATCCTCGAGAACTACCAGGAGGACCTGCGTGAGATGGACTTCAGCTCGCGCATGCTGCAGCTGTGCGTGAGCGTCGCGTCGGCGAGCGAGGACCGCACCCCGCTCGCCGTCTACCTCGCCATCTTCCACGGACTCGAGCGTCTCGCCCTGACCGGCGCTGTCGGCACACACGAGCGCGACCTGGTGGTCAAACTCGCCGTCGATCGGTGAGTGTGGACACGTGGTGCGACCTGGTGGTGAAGCCGGTTGTTGATCGGTGGGTGGGTACGTGCTGCGACCTGGTGGTGATGCTAGCCATCGATTGGCAAACAGAAAGTATTTGTGATATGTTGTGTGTGTTCACTAGTGACTACCTTGGTAATGTTACCAGACGTATACACACCAAGTTTACACATTTGCTGTATGTATCGTGCTCTTGTATATGTCATTCTGCTGCAAATAGCATTAAATGTACAAATCACCCTCTCTGATACATTTAGGCTGCGGGTGTTTCTAGATGCAGAATGTGTTACTTCATGTGCATAATGCTCCTATCTGTTACCATTCCACATACTCTTAGTAACCTTTGTGGCCATGGTAGTGATTGCGTGCTGTAGGCGGGGTGCTATGGTGATGCTATGGGGTGCTGATGTCTGATTGTAGCATGCTGCATGTTTAGGCTGAAGGCGCACAGTCCAGTGCGGGTTCTAGCTGGCCTGGGGCTGCTACTCAGCTGTATGTACTCTGAGGGTCGCGTGGTGCTGGACTCCTACAGTACGGACAGCAGTGACATGGACCCCGCGTCACCGGTGCTTGAGATCAGAGATCCGGAGCACCTCATCGTGGCCATGGAACGACTCACGATGCTGTTTGACAGGTTACTGCCTTCTACCACTTCACTACCATTCGTGCAGTTTTTTATACGCCGCCAACGAAGTTAGGGGGGGGGGGTATACTGGAATCATCTTGTCTGTCTGTCTGTCTGTCTGTCTGTCTGTTTGTCCGACACCAACCTTGTTTTAAGATGGTTTCATTTGAAAGAAAGAGTAGGTTAATTAAAAAAAAAATTATTTAGTATCTCTTTTTTTAAGATCATTTCATGGTGAGTGCATTTCGTAGCTGTCGTCTGGCTCTATGGCAGGAGTGGCAGTAGATTGGTTGTTTTTAGTGAGGGTGTGATTAAAAAAATAATATCACATAAACTATATTTATTTATAGATATATTAATTGTTATATATTATTTTTATTAATATATTATTATATATAATAAATTTTATACTAGGAGAACTTCAGGGGTTCTAAAGAATCCCTAAGTTATAGTGGTTGAAAAGGCAGATTTCATGTGATGAAACTTTTAGGGATGGATATGTTAGTCCCATTGAGGTATAAATTTATACTAATGACCTCTCATATTTATTTGTCTTATTTTATGGAGCTTGAAATGTATTTTGACTGATTTATATAAATACATATGCATCCGTCTTTGTTCATTGCCAGGTATAGTTAATACATTGTGTTGTGAAGATTGCGCTCTGAATTAAATCAATTTTATTACTCAAATAGCGTTCACTTCAAAAGAAATGTGTCATTAACACCTTTTACATGTCTTGCAGAATCAGAAAGGGCTATCCATTTGAGGCTGAAGTAGTCAGCAAGATTTTGCCACATTTTCTGGCCGATTTCTTCCCTACCCAGGATGCAATGAACAAAGTGATAGGAGAGTTTTTGTCAAGTCAGCAGCCTCATCCACAGCTCATCGTTGGAGTCTTGTTCAAGGTGTGTGTGTGCTCACATTCTTATGTGCGTATGCAGGCATGTGTGTGATCGCATTCTTATGTGCGTATGCAGGCATGTGTGTGATCGCATTCTTATGTGCGTATGCAGGCATGTGTGTGAGTGGTTGTCTGGCATCGTGTGTGACGGTTGTGTGCATTTGTTGTTGATGTCACAACACAGATCAGTATACTAGCTGACTGTTTTTAAGTGTAATAATAATAATAATAATAATATAAGTGATTTTTAATTGATAACAAGCCATGCATGCAATTAGTTAGTGAAACGCATAAAAAACCTAATGTATCGTAAACCTAAAACTTGCATCTTTTCTTACAGGTATTTAACAACTTGATTCAGAAGGGTCAAAATGACCTTGTCAAGGACTGGGTCATGCTCTCCCTTTCTAACTTCACACAGCGGACACCCATCGCCATGGCGACGTGGAGCTTGACATGTTTCTTCATCAGTGCTTCACCAAATCGGTGGCTCAGGGCTCTGTATCCTTTTGTATGTGTGTATTTGGAATCTTCCTGATGTTTTAGTATTCTGTTATTCTTTATTGTTTAATGAAATATAGATAAACATATAATAATAGGTACATAAATTTGTAAAGGTAACATATATAACACGAAGACATAATAATGATCATGTTAGTTTTGCTATAATCATACTCAATTCAATTCATTTAATTCAATTAATTCATCTAGCTATACAATCAAGAATGTAGACGGAGATTGATCTAAGGTAGTTTTCAATTAAAAACTTTTCATAATACTTACATAATAGGTGCGTTCACACTGGCGCGAATTAGCGGGCTGCAAAACCCGGTTTTTGCAGCCCGCTCGAAAAACTGAGCTTTTTACAAGTGTGAACGCAATTAGCTCACTAAATCGCGCTCAAAATAGCGCGCTGGAAAGAACACTTCCGACTGCACTAATTTGGAATCAGCGCGCTTATATGCACCGCTGCGTGATATTTGCACCGCGGCGATTAGCGAGATATTCGCCTGTGTGAACAACGACACAATTAGCTCACTATTATCTCCGCTATTAGCGGGCTGAGCAGCGCGGTTTTTCTTGTGTGTGAACGCGCCTAATGAGAATGAGTAATTAAACTTCAGGCTTGTTCACGAGCTGTTAGGAGTTAATTTCTTGAGTGAACATGTAGTTCCGAATAGAGTAACCGCGATCGCCATGGCTTCGGCCATCAGCGTGGATCGCTATCGTTTGCTTCCTGACCTCTGTGCTCGCAGCTTCCCACATGTGCAGAGCAGGATGGGATTAATGGACATGGTGGACAGACGATTCTTCTGCGTGGCAGCGTTGGACTTTCGCAGTCAGGTCAGCATCTCTCCGTATATCTCCCACATATACTCTCCGCATATACTCTGCATATATCTCCCACATATACTCTCCGCATATACTCTGCATATACGCTCCATATATCTCCTGCATAACTCCGCATATTCTCTGCATATACTCTCCACATATACTCTCCTCATATACTCTCCATATATCTCCCGCATAACTCTCTGCATATACTCTGCATATACGCTCCATATATCTCCTGCATAACTCCGCATATTCTCTGCATATACTCTCCACATATACTCTCCTCATATACTCTCAATATATCTCCCGCATAACTCTCTGCATATACTCTGCATATACGCTCCATATATCTCCTGCATAACTCCGCATATTCTCTGCATATACTCTCCACATATACTCTCCTCATATACTCTCCATATATCTCCCGCATAACTCTCTGCATATACTCTGCATATAGTCCTGCATATACTCTCTGCATATACTCTG